GTGAGCGGTATCGGAGCGAAATTGGAGCGAGACAAAGCGACAGCTCCAGCCTTAATTAAAAAAGCGCTCCGCGCTCTGACCAAATTCCGCCCGCTCCGCTCCTCGCTCACGCTCCGCTCCGCTCACATGCTCTGGTTCTGGTCCAGGGGTCGGAAACTCCAGTCCTGCGGAGCTGTGGATCATGCTAGTTTCTGCTCTACCGCTGATGTATGTATTTTAATAGCAGCTGTTCCTTCACTGTTTATAATTGTACCTTTTGTACAGTAACTTGTTGATTCAGGTGTGAGTTAAGCCCTAATTAAAAGGTATTTTAAAACCTGCAGACCTGAGAATGTGAAAATTAGATGATAAATGAGCAGTACCTGCTAAAACAGTTACGTGTGTTTGGCATTTTCAGAGATGCACCACAGTGCAGGGCTGCCAGCTCTCCCACACTGACGTCAGACTCCCACAATCGGGTCCAATCTCACGCTCACATGCTACGCTTGTAATTTCTCCCCTAATTTCACAATTCTGTCCATCTGTAACATTATCCTCCCCGAAATGCTGGTTATGCTGGTTTAGAGCGCTGTGTGTGTTAGCATGTGACAAGGGCTACAAACACGTTGTTGTTGCTGGGCGTCTTCAGCACAGACCTGTGGAACCTGCCGTTACTCCAAAGATGCAGGATTCAGTTCAGAGAGGAAGAGGAAAGTGGTGCAACAAGCAAAGCTCTAACAAAGTAACGTCAGCTAACAATTAAGATACAGCAGCTAAGTTTAGCAAAGGAATAGTTCCAGTCCTGGTGGTTATGGCACAGCTAGCTAGCTAATGCTACGAATGGGCTCTTTTCATAGGTGTGTCATCGAGGGGAAAACAAAAAAGGATCCTGTTAATTACCTATGTATTTTGCACTCTGCTGCGGAGTCTACTTTTAATTAACATTATTTTAATTAGCATTTTGTGCTTCAGCTGTTTTTCCATCTATGACACGTCTGTAGAAAGAGTCAATTGAGAAAAAAATAACAGCCATTTCCTCACTGCATGCGTGTGGCTGAGTGACAGTGAGAAATTGAGCACATTCGTCATCCATTATGACAGTCAAAGTGGGTGACATTAATCCTGATGGTCACAAGGGGGAGCCACCAATGAGGGTCATTAGAGCAGCTAAAAGTACAGCGTCCAAATATAACAAGAATGGGCGCTAACTGACACTTATACACTGAAATGTGCTTAATCACACAGCATTTAATGTACAAAGGACCAGCGTTCAAAGACAAAGTGACGTGTAATGTTGGTAAATACAAACAAAGATGTAGCTCCTTTCTGTCACGCCCAGCTCCGTCCGATCCTAATGTGTGCCACGCCCACCTCGTTACCTCCTGTTTCT